GCCTTTGGCTTTCCCTCCGGGAGAGGTGAGTGGTACCCGGGAACGGGAAGGGACGATGCTTCAGCCATACGGCAGCACCGCCAGCGCTTGGAAAAATGGGGGGGGGAAAAAAAGTCATTTAGATCAATTGCGTCCCCCTTCCCTGGTGGTAACAGAGAGGGAAGTCCTAAATAACCCGCCCTATATCGGGTGACCTCCTTTTAGTGGCCGTCGCTGTGTCTGACGGACCGAAGCGGCGAACGCCTGGATGCCCGGCGCTAATGCGAGGTGATGGGGTGGCCGTCGGGACGGCAATGGGTGGTGGAGGGAGCGGGAGCGGGTTGCTGGAGCCAGGCTCATTGCCGAGCGGGTGATAGGACTGTTGAGCATCTCCCGCGAGTCATTTTTGGCAGCTGTTGGCCGTGCCCCCCTCCGTGTTTGGTGTTTCGGAGGGGCCGTGCTGCACGTCGAATCTCGTAATGGGGTGGGCGAAGGCACCTGTTGAAATGGGTTTAATTTCTGCCTCCTTGAAATGGGACATCTATTTTATTAATTGCATTTGCAAACATAAATACCTTTCTGGATCTGAATTTTCGGTACCGGCTCGTTGGGGATGCAGCCATCCCTGCATCCCTGAGGCGGGCAAGGACCATGCTGAGCATCGCGGTTGCGGTGGCCGCCGAATTCAGGGTCCTACATGACCATAAACGACGGCTCCTGGCGCTCGATGTGGGGCTGGGGATGGGATCGAGGGATCGGACTGTGGCAAACTGAGGGTACAGGAGCTTCCCTGCCCAGGGGTTTTCTGTGATTAAAGATGCTGGTCCTGGGGGACCCTATTTCCCACCTAGAAGACGTTCCAGGCAGGAAGGTGCTGAACATACCAACCAACAGGTTTGGGGCCCTTTGGGGTGAAGATGGGTGAGGTGAAGGACAAGAAGAAGCTAACGTTGTCAAATGTGGTTTTATTTAGCTGTCCCAACAGCCATTAAAAACCTCGTCACCTGGCTGTGTGGGACCATGGGGATGAATTTCACTCCCCCGAGTGTGGCTGTGACTCCTGCCGCTCCGTCTTGGGGGACCCCCACGCGAAAGAATGGGCTTGCTCCTGGGTTGCTTGCAGAAATGTCACAAAAAGGGGTTGTGTGTTGTGTTTTTTTTTCCCACTGGTCCATCAGACTGTGATAAAATTGGACAGATTTCAGCTTTTTTTCAGCTCTGCGAGATGCTTTGGGAAGTGTGGCAGCACCTCATCCTACATCCCTGCAGGAGGAGGATGCTGGGGGAGGAAGGCTAATCCCCATGAGAAGGATGCGTGAGATGATACGAGGAGTCACACCAGCGAAAAGCAGGGTTAAAACTTGCCCCGGGGGGCTCTCCCTGGCTGGGCTTGAGGGTATTTTGGAGCCAATTCCAAAAAAAATAATAAATCCCCATAGCACTTTTGCTTCAGAGCAATAGCTTTGCAGTTTTGCTCTTGCGTTTTTTGCTGAATCTGGGCTGCCACACCGCTTTTGGGGCAGGATCTGATCACTTTTTTCCCCACCCTCCTGTTCATTCAAGATCTTTGGCAATAGAAATACCCCTTCAAGGGGTGAACGTGGGGTCGGTGGCTTTAGACGCAGAGGAGACCTCTGCTCTGACCCAACGGCACCGAGATGCTGCCTGGGAAGGACACCATGCAGGGATTCATGAGGGCAAGCAGTCCCCGAAGCCAATGCCCAAATCATCCTGGGGAAAACCAAGAAAGGCTGGAGCCACACTCCAGGATAGCTTCAAGCAGCCGAAATTAGCCCAAAGCCCATCTACCCATGGTTCCTTCCAGCATCACACCCCCCCTCAATGATCCCACGGTCCAAAGACTTGTCCTTGCTGTGGCTTTTCTTGGCATCTCGTTGCTTTTGGAGGCAGCCCTAATTTTCAAGCTTCCTTCCGTGCGATTGCAAAAATGCACCGCAGGACACAACCAGCCTTGGAAATAATCGGGTGGCTGGCGTATAAAATAAGCAACGAGGAAAAAAAAAACAAGTAGGAATAACTGTAGTTTTCTTGCTTGCCTGTCAGCGTCCGGCTCGGTCTGCATGCGTGCTTCCCATTGCAAGCGCTGGGATTTAGCATCCCGGGTGCGAAGGTGTGTGATGGGACGTGCTCACGTCGGTGCACGGGGACGGCGTGCGATGGGTAGGGCTGTGGCTACAGCGACCCACGTGCTGTCAGAACTAGTTATCGGGGGAGAAAAACCTTATTGCAAGCCAGCCTGGGCTCCTCACACGCCTTTAGGACCTTCTGGAGAAGTCATTCAGCATGTCAGTGGGGTTAGTGCTGCCTGGCCCCGGCATGGTTGAGGGCTCTGAGGCCACCAGTTACCAGCTTTTCTGGCAAAAACAAAAAAACCTTTTTTTTTCTGCTATATCCAGTGCTTGTATTTCCATCGGTATGCAGCAAACCTCTTCTAGGAAATCCTCCGGCAGCCTGCATGGCCTCAAACAGGAGCCGAAAGCCTTACCGCAGGGGGTTTGGGTTGTCGTCCCTCTCCCTGGGGTCACCCCTCCACAGCGGAGCCGCGGGGTGAGACCTGCCGGCGTTCCCCAACCCGCCGCGGTGCAAAACCCTCCGGCGTCTCGCGAGCCCCGCGAACTGACTTTGTGCTGGAGCGGATGAGGAGCGTGCCTGTGGGAGGGAGGTGGGCTCAGTGCGGGATGGCTTTCCCCAGCCGAGGAATCCAGCAATGCTGGATTGTGGGCTTTTTTTTTAGGGGACTGCAGCTGAGATTGGTCGCATGATGTGCTCCCTACCTGGGGATGCTGATGTCCTTTTTCTGCTCTCCCGCAGGACGGCGAGCTGACCACCACGTGCCGGCTGCTGCTGCCTCGCGCTGAGACACC